TCATATTGCCACTGTCCTGTTAAGTTACTTCGCAATAAATTGTCACAGGCTGAAAGAAGTTATCGGCATAATTTGCCTGAAATGCAAACAGCGTTTCTCTTATGCATCTGCTAAATAGATGTTCTTCTGTTTAGCTAGGCCGGTTCTACTTTGGATTGTTGTGACTATATTCACAAATATGCTTAGGATGAAAACTAAAATTCTGCAGGTACCGTGTTCAAAACACTGAAAGAAAAAAATATGCCACCTTTCCCCCATATAAATATCAACTTCATCGGTCATCCCTTGGGAAGCAGCGAGATATTCGGTCTGACGTTGGTTTGCTTAGCACAAATGAGGTTTCAGCCTGAGACTACATGTGAGATTTTAAGGTTTACTCAATGATAAGAAGTATCGCTTGTGATCGCGATGAATAAAAGGCGTTTTTCTTCACAGTGCCTACATATCTTCTCTGTGCTTGGTGGAATGCATTCATTCTTGGAGATATGTCCCTGTGTTGAGGTTTAAATTAGCTACTGCTCATTTATTGTTATATTCTCTCACATGTAGGACAGTAGGACCAAGAGAATGCAGATGCAAAGCTATGAGTTGAAGGCTATAAATTCCACAAAGATGATGCGAAATTTTTATTCAGCTACACTTAACACTCATTTACACAGAATTTGTTTTTTGGTGCTGCTTAGACTTAACATAATTCGCCACTTATGTAAATACGTACTGCATGCTTGACATATTACATTGTAGGAAAGGCGGGAGTTTCTAAAGAAGTGTACTCTTCGAACGCTTGTTGTCGACGGACGCGAGGTAGGAGCTTTATTCAGCAAATGTGAGATGTATTTGTTTGCACACGTTTATAGATCTAAGTTGCCCCATAATGAATTCACTGTCCAATTACATTGCACGGTAGTGGACGTTAACAAATTTTACTTGTCGTTTGCCAGCACTCTTTGTTCTGCTTGGTGTTGCTGAGCTTTTATAGAGAACCGCATGGTTGCTCGATATCAAGCGTACGCCGGTCATTTTTATAAATATTGATTGAGTCTTGTTTTTGAAATTGATAGAATCATCTGCCCTCATTCTAGTGATTGCCAGGATCACGGTAGATGGTTTAAAATGGCGTAAATCCATCTCTAGGCAAATTTCATCATGTTGTATTAGCATTTATATGTTACAAAAATTTTCATGCGCTAGTTAAGTTTTCTCTAAAATTCAGCGACATTAAACATAATCACGTCGACCTTCATCTGCAATATGAACTAAATAAATTTGAGTTTGAAATTCGCTTTGACTTCACGCGGTTTCGATAATCTGCCAACATTCAAGCTGATAGGAATATTCCCGCGCTGAGAATTGTTTCTCTTTGCTTCGCTCAGATCAGTGTGTCATGCGGTATCGTTTGCACTTCTTACGAATGACCAAGAAAGAAACACGGTCGAACAGTATACTATTGTGCCTGCTTTGTCATACCATGATAGCTAGATAATAGCACTGCGTAAAGGATTTTTTTCTGTTTTTCTGTTGGCGATAGAGATTTACAGGAAACCTTGAGGTGTAGGAGTAGAGTTTAAGTTAGTTGAGCAGTAGCTCTTCACGTCAGCCTGTAAAGTTATC